GGCACCGCGGGCACCGCCCCCGCCCCCGAGGAGCCCCGGCTGGGCGGCCGGACGCCGGGGTTCTGCTCCCGCCTTGCTCGCGCCTGCGTCCTTGGGCGAGTCCTTGCTCTATGGCGCCAGAGGTTCGCCGGCCGTAAGTTGGGAAAGGTGAATCTCAAGGGTGGGCCGATGGATGCCCGCCTTGTTCAATGTCAGAAGCCTAGGTCTAGAAGGAAGCCCACCCAGACCCCATCCTGGAAACCTCACTTCTTGGGGGCAGGGCACAGTTACAGTTCAGAGAGGCACGCGGAGCTTCATTCGGCTTGACTGGGCACTGGGCTCTGTTTAGGGTAGGCGCTCTGGGTGCTAGCACACCAGGGAACCCTCAGCCACATGACCTTGGGCCAGCATACTCCATTCCAAAGCTGTTTTTTCATCTGAGAAATGGGGGTGGAAAGGTGTTGGGTTCAATTCGCAAGCACTCATCTTGCTGCGTGGGACACTCATCTGGCCTCGTGGAAGCATGTGATCTGCTCTGGGATGGTCCCTGTCCAGGTACATGAGACTCAGTGTTGTGTTGCTCCTTGACCCTCTGGGGCCTCAGTTCCTTCATCCTCAAGTTGTGTCTGGTTTGGGCTTTGTCCCTAAACTAGATGATCCGTGAATGGAACAGGAAGCTGCAATGCTGGGTGGGTTATTTTGAGGGTGGGTGTGTATGTTTGTGCAAAGGGCAAGTCAAAAAGTATTTGGTTAAACATCCCTTATTCATTTAAAGATGATGTAGCTGAGATGTAGGGAGAAGAAAGGACTGAAGTAGGGTGTCACCTGTTATTTATTTATTTGGCACAGATATTTATTAGGTGACTTCTGTATGCACTACTGTTTCCCACTGGGAAGGAAAAGTAAGAGTAGAGAATGATGCAGACCCTGTTCTCACGGAACCTACATTCAGGGGAAACTGGATGCATCCAAAGGGTCCCTAGATCCCATGCTCTGGCTTCCACCCCAGACCACGCCAGGTCTCCATTCCTTTGTTTCTCTGCGAGGCAAGAGCTGAGCGGTTGACTTTTAAAGCCTTTGGACTCCGCTTTGGTCGAGTGCACACAAAGGGGAAGGGCATCTCGGTGGAGGGGACCTCTGGGCAGATGCACAGTGGTTGTTGGACTATGTGGGCTGAGTTTGGGGAGTAGGAAGGTCACTTGGTGTAACTGGACACTAGATAGTTAATTAGAGGCAGGTCTCAGAGGGCCTGATTGTGCTCTAGAAGGCAATGCTTAAGGCCTGTGAGAGGGAGGCCCTCGAGGACAGTCTCTGGGGAGGGTGAGAGAGGTCCAAAATCAATGAAAAATAAAGGAGCCCCTCCCCGCCCCCAAAAATCTGGGCGTGGTGGCGCATGCCTGTAATCCCAGCACTCTGGAGGCTGAGGCAGGAGGATCGTTGTGAGTTCGAGACCAGCCCGGGCTACAAAGTGAGCTCAAGGCCAGCCTGAACTACATAGTGAGACCCTGTCTCAAAAAGACAAAAA